GAGTATGCAATTTCATTGACAGGAGTTTTCCTATCAGTGTTCAACCTTACCGGTACCTGCAGATCTAAAAAGATAAGATTGAGTGGCTCATCAAAGAGAAGCTAGAGGCATAGATTATTAGATCCAGTGTGAGCCCTTTTTCCAGTCCTATTTTACGGGTGAAAAAGAAGCACAAAAGTTGGAGGTTCTACGTGGATTATAAAACTTAAAACAAAGAAACTATGTTGAACAAATTTTCTATTCCTTTGATTGATGAGTTATTGGATGAACCATTTGGGGTGATTATCTTCTCAAAGATTGACCTGAAATTCGGATACCACGAGATCAGAATGAAACAAAGGGATGTGCAAAATACAACTTTCAGAACCCATGAGAGTCACTACGAATTTTTAGTTAAGTCTTTCGGCCTCACCAATGCTCCAGGCACTTTTAAGTCACTCATAAATCGAGTTATTCAACCCTATCTTAGAAAGTTTGTCATGGTAATCTTCAATGACATCCTAATCTACAGTTGAATGGAAGCATAACATATGGGACACTTGAGGACAGTGTTGGAGACATTGAGGGAGCACCAGCTGTATGCCAACCTGAAGAAATGTTCATTTGCACAACCATAGGTAGAGTACTTGGGACATGTGGTGATCAAGACAAGGGTAGCAATGGACCAGTCCAAGATTGAGGCTATGCTAAATTGGCCTTTGCCCAAGAGCATTAGGGAGTTAAGAGGATTCTTAGGCCTCACTTGGTACTACTAGAAGTTCGTGCAAGATATGGCACAATAGTAGGGTCATTGACTGAGTAGCTGAAGAAGGAAAGTTTCAAGTGGGGGGAGACAACTACACATGCTTTCGAGTTGCTAAAGAAAGTAATGACTAGCAGTGGCGGATCCACGGTTGGCTGAGGGTGGGCAAATGCCCACCCTAAAAAAAAAATTATTATAGAGAAGGGGCATTTTAGACCTTCTGTCCCCCCTAAAAAAAAATTCACTAAATCTTCCGATCGTGAGCCATTTTTCCCCATTCAGTTCGCGATTTCCTCACGCCGTCACCCGTGCTCCAGTCGAGTTCGCTGCCTCGCAAAGTCACAGTCGCAGGACGAGCGGACCGGCGGCGGCGGATCCCTCTTGTTCACAGCCTGCAGCCTTCATCTTCGTGTCTACGTGAAGAGCCGAAGAGGTTGCCGGCTCGCCGCTGCCCTCTCTTTCCAGTTCCCGATTTGCAGCCTTCTTCACTGTTTTGAAGGTAAGTTTTGATTGTTTGGCTTCTCATTACTACTCCATAATCTCCACTTGCTCTTTTTTTTGCTTCCATTTTTCCTTATCTTGTTATCTGCATCTTGAAAAAATTTGGATATTTTACTGTTTATCTTCTTCACTGCATTATCTTCACTTGATTATCTTCTTCACTGCATTTTTCCTTATCAGGTTGCTATTCATCTTCAAATTTTATATTTTTACTGTTTCTAACCGAGAATTCCCAGTTGGAAGAAATGTGGAAATGTAGTGTTTCTAAGTTCTAACTACTCTTTATATTACTCAAATGAATTAACTCAATTAATTAGGTTTAACTCAACTAAATGAATTAATTCAGTACCAATAAGGTAATTGGATGAGACAATTAGATTTTATATATATGCTTTGCTCACACAGATTTTGAGTTATCTAAACCTTTGTTTTTGTCATTTGTATTGAGACATAGTCCTATTGTAGCTTTTCAAATTAAAGATTAATTTTTTTTTTTTTTTTTTTTTTTTTTTTTTTAATGAGAGTATCGGTATAACCACTTCCTGACTTCAGCAGGCTGTTTGTGGTAGAGACAGATGCGTCAGGGATATGAACTAGGGATAGTACTCATACAGAATAAGAGACAGATTGCCCATTTTAGTCAGGTGCTCACAACCAGGGCGATACTCAAGTCAGTGTACGAAAGAAAGTGGCGACCCTATTCATTGGGGAGACACTTCCTAGTTAGAAAAAATCAGAGGATCTTGAAGTATTTGCTGGAATAACGGATGGTCACCGAAGAGCATCCATGATGGCTATCCAAGATACTGAGATATAATTTTGAGATCCAGTACTGACCGGGCCTAGAAAACAAAGAAGCTAATTCCTTATCCAGGAGAATCGAGGAGCCTCAGTTAACAACTTTGTCAGTACATCTAATCCTAGATTGGGAAGTTCTAAAATAGAAGAGTGAACAGGATGATAGACTAATGAAGATCATAGACGAGTTGTTGTAGAACCCGAATAATCATCCTAGTTATATGTTGAGAGGAGTCCAATTGCTACATAAGGGGAGATTTGTTCTACCAAAAGGATTGGGATACATCCCCAAGCTGCTACAGAAGTTTCATGGCAGTGTAGTGGGAGGGCATTCAGGACTGCAGAAAACCTACAATCGATTATCAACAGAATTATACTAGGTGGAGATGCATCGTGATGTAAAGGATTGGATAGCCAAATGTGATGTTGAACAAAGGCAAAAGTACCTATCCATGGCGCCGACAGTGTTACTACATCCCCTAGCCCTACCGAAGAGGGTGTGGGAGGAGGTGATGATGGATTTCATCAAGAGATTGCCATGATCAGAGGGGATTTCAGTGATACTAGTAGTAGTGGATTGTCTGAGCAAAAATGCACACTTCATTCCTTTGAAGCGCCCTTATACCATCGTTATTGTGGCTACTGCCTTCATAAAGGTAGTAGTGCGCCTACATGGAATTCCATAAGCCATTGTGTCAGACAAGGACAAGGTGTTCCTTAGTCACTTATGGAGAGTTGTTTCAATTACAGCGGACAATTCTAAAGAGAAATGTAGTCTACCACCCTCAGACATATGGCCAGATAAAAGTGACCAACATAAGTATAGAGACCTATTTGAGATGCTTTGCAGCAAACACGCCAAAGAGCTGGGTAAGGTGGATTGCTTGGGCGGAATATTGATACAATACTTCATATCATACAGCAGCGAAGACCACTCCTTTCAGGATTCTCTATGGGAAAGATCCACCCCATCTGATTCATTATGGGCTGAGCATTATGCCTGTGTCTAGTGTAGAGCAGTACTTCGAGGAGAGGAATAGGGTATTATCTGAGCTCAAGGTACATTTGTTGAGAGCCCAACAGATCATGAAGAGGAAGGCTGATGAGCACAGGAGGGAAGTAAACTTTAAGCCAGGAGATATGGTTTACATAAAATTGAGGCCCTACTGATAGAAAACACTAGCCAAAAGGAGTAATAAGAAGTTATCTGCATGGTAATTTGGGCCTTATGAGATCTTGGAGCGTATTGGAACAGTAGCTTATCGATTGACGCTACCACCCTCATCAGCTTTGCACCCAGTCTTTCATGTCTCACAGCTAAGGAAGGCGATAGGATTATTGTATCCTGCTTTGATGTTGAAGTATTAAAACAAAAATCTGATGAGGACATCATTGACACGTGTACCACCGGAGATCAACGGCCACGGTCATGAGTTTATATTTTGAGTCATGTTATGTAGTAGTTTATTTTATTTTTCAGTTTTACTGTTTTACCCTTATGGATGGTCATTCGATATTGTAGTCCCGATAGCATTTATGTCTTTTAGTTTTAGTTTTATTTTGGCCTATTTATAGGAGGCCTCATGCATTGTATGAGGATGATTATTGATGAATGAAAATTTCTTTTTCTTGTTGATCTCTTTGTGAGTTCATGAAATTTCCCAAGATCTCTTTGAGAGTTCTTGAGAAGATAGTATTGTGGATCTCTTTGTGAGTTCTTGTGGAAGTGGTGTTCAAGGTTTGTAGTTTGATAACTTTCTTTTCCCTACCCAATCCTTTTTTCCCCTACTTAACCGAAAATTCCCCTCCTCCCCAAAATTTCCCACCCCACCCGCTCCACCGCCGGCCTCCCTTAGCCGGTCCAACCACCTGCGGCTCTCCCAGCTCCCTGTCGCTAGCCGCCGGGTCCAAGCCCATTATTGAATTAATTTGAAATTTCAAATTAATCTCCCTCCAAAACCAATTGAAGCTGAAATTATTTTCAGTTTTCTAAATCCTTCCCTCTCCCTCTAGCTCACGGCCAACCCCTCTCTTCCCCAAACTGCCACTTCCACCTCCCGTCCCCCTCCCTCTTCTCTTCTCTATTTATTACGAACATGAATGGCGGATCCGGAATTTGATCACGGATTTGCGTATGACTTTCAAGGAGATATTGACGTCGTTCGTTCGCCATTCTTTGACGTTGGGTTTGGCTTCAACCACACCGTTGAGGATTACTTGAACTGTATCCTTCCCACTCTCGTGGATGTCATCGACGAACAACTTTCGGCCGACGATTAGATCATCAACGGGCGTCCACCATCTTCCCCAAATCCGGCTTCTTCCCCGGCGACTAGTCTTCTCAGCGTCACTTGTGTGATAGTGGCATCGTTGAGTTTCTGCGCCATCCTCTTCCGCTAACCGAGTGAATCCAAGAGTGAAGTGAGGGACTTCAAGGTGAAGGATCTATATCTTAAGCCGTGGATTTTTGTTAAGAGCCATTTGCTTTATTACTTATCCATTGGATTAATTTTGTTGGTTTCATGTCGCTTCTAAGATAATTGATTGACGTTGCTTAGTTCTTCCATGGAAATTTCTTACGATCTATCTTGGAACACATTTGTTTTAAATTAGCAATGCAAGTTCACACGTTATTAATTTTCTAACAAGCAATTCTTGTCTATCGCATTTAGTTTCACATCAAAATATTCTATCATTTCTCAATTTCTTCTTTTTATTATCTTTTCTCGCTGATTTCATCCCCAAGGAGTATCAAACTCCTATAGTGTCCAGATAGTTTTCGATTATTCGTAAAATATATAACTACCGATATAGGATGAGTATTAAGTTCAAAAGAGCCTTAAGGATGTTTAGGAGCGGATTGAAAAAATATATACAGATCAATACAAATATTCAAAGAAAGAAAGAAAATGATAAAATATATCATTTTCTGTATTTAAAACCAAATACAACTATTGACCTGGACTTAGAAACTATGCAACCTGAGAACATTATTAGGCTTTTACTTAAGACCATTTGCTGATACTCAATACCTGCAAGTTAGATTTTATTAGAAGGAAACAAACAAATATGTAAGAATAAATTAAAGTAAAACAAAATTGGCTTAATAGCATCTTACATTCAGTAGGGCTCAATGTTCTGGTTAATTCTTTCCATGCTAGTAGTTGATATCAAGGGAAAAAACTACAACATCATTAACAAAAAAAAAAACATTTTTTTCTCAAGCAATCTTAATTAGTTGATATTTTAACAAATGGTGCTTTTTTCTTCATTATTTTCACAGAAATCATGAGCATGTCAGTACCAACTTTGTTTAATGAATAATCTAGTTCTGGCAGGTTGAAGTAAAAAGCTTGCGGCAGCAGCTGCATAACTTGCAAGAAAATCATCTGTAACACCTCTTCAACCTTGAGTTTGCAAAAAGAAAAAAATTAAACATATTAGCCGCAAAAAAAATAAAAAAAAAAGCGGCATGATATATAAATAATCTCAATCAACAAAAAAAAAACATAGATACCCATTTTGGATAATTGAAGCAAGAAATCTTTATTTTGGATAATCAAAAGCGTTCATGAGTGAGACGGAAGTAATATTTGGATAAGCAGAAATAATTTTTAAGTTTATTTTACTTATATTTATTTTTTAAAAATATATCTCAGGTCTAAATTACACACATCTCAAAAAAACTAAAGTGAGGACTCATCTAAGGTGTAAGCTTCACAGTGGATGCAAATTTTCCAGAAAAGCGTTGAGGCGCACCTCGTATTACAGATTTTAAACCATGCTCGAGTAAAATACAAAATCTGCTAAATCAATCATGTTTAGTATTGTTCTTCTATTATAGGCCCTAAAATGCAATATCATCCTTCAAAAAAGCTTCTGTAATGAAAAAGTATGGGAACTAATCCAAAATAATTATCATACTTGAAAATGGAGTGAAAAAGACTCAAATCTTACTTCTATGAGCAATATCATAGCTGAATCGTATGCTTACTATAGGAAACTAAAGTTCATGCACTTGACCTTATAAATATTTGTACAATGAACATAAAGGCGCCAATATTTGAATATTATTTTATAAAAACAGATTTTATAGCAAATCAATGAAAATATTACACACAAAAAAACGAAAAGATTACAATATAATTACAACGAGCAACAAAAAGACAGCATCAACCAAAATACAAGGAACAAAAGAAAACATGATAGCAGGGAAGAAAATTTTCATCAAAATTATGTGAAGAAACCCCATTAACTCCTCGCAAGTCAAGAATAAAAAAATAGTTAGACAAACTATAGTCTCTTGTTTGAAATCTAGTAAACCTTGATAAAGGAAGAAATATATATTTTTGTAATTATTGTGTCTCCTAGTAAAAAGAATTTGAAATCTTTTATCCATTTGTTCCTCAAGACTTATAGATTTGAGATTTCTATCAAAAGCATATGAATAATCAAATCTTGGGCCACCTACTTCCTTTACAACAAAAAGATCATGAGGAGTTTCACTAACACAACTGAAAAAGTCTAAATCAATGCTGACATTTAAAGAATAAGTTCCTCCTACAGCTATGATACTTAAAGAAGGAAGCATCAACAATAAGGGAGGCTCTGATTCCAAGGCAAGAGGTATAGTAGGTGTAATATCCAAATTTTTCAAAAGATGATATGAAACTTTCTCATAAAACTTGGACCCCATTTTATGCATGTCCTGAAAATCATCAAAACTATTTTTATTAAATTTTATATTTCATTTTGATTATTTTGATATATAAAAGTACATATATAAATATTCAACTTTTCATTTAAATTTATTTGACCTAAATTAGTAAACAATATGTGCCGAATGTTGGCCATTAAAAGAGAAGCATAATACTAAGTTAAGTGTGGCAGAGATGAGGATGCTCAAGTGGATGAGTGGCTTACCCTTAGAGATAGGATACGAAATGAGCATATACGTGAAAAGGTTGGAGTAGCTCCAGTAGAAGATAAGATTAGAGAGAGTCGCCTTAGATGGTTTGGTCACATAAAACGGCGGCTTTCCGACGACTCGGTTAGGAGAGTAAAGGTATTAGATTTGACTTATGTTAAGAAAGGTAGGGGTAGACCTAAAAAGACTTGGTTAGAAAATATTAGGAATGACCTTTCTTTATTAGAGAATTTGACTTTTAATAGGACACAATGGAGAAAAAGGATTCATGTAGCCGACCCCACGTAGTGAGATAAAAGCTTGATGTTGTTGTTGTTGTAGTAAACAATATCACCCTATTAATCTACCATATCAAAATCCTATTTTTCCAAAATTTCATGCCAAACAAGGGTAAATCGCTAAATTGAGGGTGGGGATAGTTTATAGGATAGTTTAACTAAGAGTGAAGCCACTCATCCACTTGAGCACCCTCATCTCTGCAACACTTTACTTTTATGCTTCTCTTTTAATGGCCAAAATTCTGCACCATAAAGCACTGCAGATCTCACCACTATGTTATAGAATTTTCCCTTAAGTTTGAGTGGTTGATGAGGACATCGAAACAAGCCCCATGCATTCCTCCACTTCAACCATCCAACTTAAATTCTGCTGATAATATCCCCATCTATTTCACCATCACTCTGAACAATAGATCCAAGATATCTAAAACATGTATCGTTCTACATCAGTGGTACTTTTCTATCACATAATAGACCTATTGCATTCCTCCAATTTAATCACCCTACTTGAATTCTACTAATAATGTCGCCATCTATTTGCAAATGCACCTTTGCACATATCAATTTCTAGGATCACCACCCTAAAACTATGCAAAAAATGATTGGGCTAGGTCAGACTCAGACCATATCATAATTCAATGTTGAAATGCCACTAGTAATGAAAATTAGGTTTGATGGGTTTCCCATCCATATCAAAGTTAAATAATATTGATGATCAAGATCAAAATTACTTCAAAAAATAAATACTAAATTTCAATGTGCAGAAAATGATTTACCATTAGATGAAGAGATGTTTCGATGGCTTCTTACAAGCTATGCAGCAACTCCCTCAAGCCAAATCCCGTTTGCCAAATCTAAATAGCATCTATGCAATGTAAACAATTTGTTTCATGAGCATTAAATAAATCAATCTTGAAAAGATATATATTTCTTGCTACATAATATGATAGGTGGATAGTAATTGCTATCAAAATCAAAAACTTTACAAGCATGACAATATAACTAGGATACAATATTATACCTACTAAGCAATAAAAAAAATAGAGATATAATATTATACCTCCTTAACCCATTATAATCATTTGATGTGCTAATGTGCACACTTTCGATAGTTACTTTTCTTATCCATCAAGCCAAGTTTTTATTGCCGATTCTTAGTTACATTGAGTCTAAGGATGACAATTAGTTCCAAATCAAATTCCATTATTATTCAATTTCAATCTTATAAAACAATTACAACTAATTCAGTGTGTGCCAGCAAGGGCCAAACCAATCTGACCCATCCACACCCTTTTTCTAAAGGACGGCAAATAATTATGCATTGTACAAGGTTATTCTTCTCAATATTACATGCCATGAAAAAAAAAATTAAAAATACAATCACATATTCACATGATAACTTAAAAAATAAAACAAATACCATTAAGACATGCACATGTGAGAATAAGAAGACACATAGAAGAACATTTAAAATTTACAAATGTAGTAAGCATAATAAACACAAAGGATCAAATCATCATTCAAAATAAAAAGTTAAAAACCCAAGAATATTACTTAGCAAATTAAGTAATTAGCTTTTCATAAAAGACCTAGCAGCTTTCAAAGATAACCAAAAAAAAAAAACAAATTGCCTAAGGCAGCATAAATTATTCAATTGATTTAAGAAAGGGCATGCTCAATACTTCCTATAACACAGCACTTTTTTTTAGCGACATGAAATGAAATAATAAAATTAAAAAAATTTATGAAATACTAGCTTTTGCAATTGAAGGGGAAAACAAACGAAAAAAAGATTATTTTTATATTTAATAAATCAAAATGCTCTTTAAACCCATCAACTAATCACATTTCAACCACATTTCAATACTATATGTCATGAAAAGATGTGAATTTGGACCACCGTCTTCTTTACAAATATAAAATCAAATATTTTAAACATCAACTGTTCAACTTTATGTTTGAGAATAAGTTGACTTTGTAGGTACATCAAACATTTATCTATTAGGTGCCAAATAAAAAATGTATTCAATTTTGGGTATGACAAAAATTTACTTTTGAAGAAACCATCGCCGCAATCATATATCCCCAACCGCCATTCAATAGTAAATGAGAAAATTTGGGGCATCAGATTTACAGAAGCTTCCAGGCATAGAAAACAAAGATAAGGAAAGATAACGATACAGTCAAATTTAAATTCCATATAACAAAGGAATACACCAACATCACATATTCCACCATTTATTTATATTCCACAGATCAATTTGAAAGCCCAATCACATAATAGAGACAACAGTTTCTATGCTCTCAACTCGGTCATGATCATCACTACTATATTTACACATACTTTAACAACCGGTCACAAAACGAGTCACTCGATCAGTTATCTAATTCAAAAACTTAATTATATATTTAAATAAAAAGACGAAAAAACAGTCATCAATGCATCCTTCCAAGAATGTTCGTAAAATAAAGTCAAATTGCAGAGCAGAAGAGCCAACTAAACAGACGAACGGCCACTCTAAAGCATAAATGTTCTTAGAAAGCAAAGGAAAATCAAACAGAATATGCCCTATAGAGATTATCCAGCGTAATCTCACAAGAGCGACGGACTTTACCAAGACGGTACGATGAAGTCGAGAGAACTCCATTTGCACACCAGAGAAGGGCAAACAAACGAATAAAATTAAACCCTAAATTCCAATGGCAAATCACTAAGCACGCAGATGATCCTATCCAACCACAGAACCGAATTGGGATGCTGTCCGTACCTTAACCATCTATGAATCCAGCTGTTTCTTCCGGCGACGACGAAACCGGAGCGAAGAAAAGGTGGTTAGGCTCGTACAGATTGCTCCCACAAAAGGATTGGTTGGAATCCGCATGCACGCGGCGCATGCGAAACGTTAAGTATCACCTTCACCTTGACGGTGAGTATAGCTGAACGAGCCCCATAGCTAAGTGAGGATTTGGACAGCTATTGACTATTATTTTTAAAAAAAATTATATTAAAAACTATCGTAAAAAACAGTTTAAAAACTATTCTAAATGAAGCCTAAAATTTTATTTGAGACAGCTTTTTTATTATTCTCGGTTGTGAGCTAGAATATGCATGGCGATAAAGTTATAAAAATTTCGTCTCAGTGTTGTACGGATATCCAACACACACATAAGAAAAATATAACACCAGAATTTTTACGTGGAAATCCTGAAAAAGGGAAAAACCATGGGGTCACGCCCAGTTGAATGAATTATATTAGTGTTTGATTAGATTACAAGTGGCTGATTCGTCCCTGATATTGAGGACAATCATATTACAAAAATCAACTCTCGAGTTGAAATTCAGTTACGAATGGAGATCAGTAATCAAACGACTTTTGATGGTCGGGTAGAAATTCGGCTTTAATTAACGGTCGGGCATAAATCTGTTGTCTGTCTGCTCTCATACAGAACTTTGACGTCAATCGGATGTCAAGCAGAACTCTGGCATCAGTCAGCGGTCGAGCAGAACTCCAACGTCGATCAGCTGCCGGGTGGAAGTTTGGCGGTGGTCGATGGGTAGTCTGGTGGTAAGATAGCTCTCTTCATTCTCTTACTTCCTTTTTTTCCTTACTTCCTTCTCTTCTCTTCTTGCTTGTGTCCCCTTCTCATGCGAAATGAGGGATCTATTTATAGTTTTCTAAGAGTGACATGATAAAGAAATATGAGGAATATCAAGGGTAAATTGTGAGTGGTTTGAATGGATGTCGACGTTGAATCACTTGACCTTGGATCATTTATTGAACATTTGAATGTCTTAATGATATCAGAATTTGACGATCTTGGGCTCATTGAATTTGTCTCGTCGAGTCGCTCAATTCGACTATAAGTATTGCACATTTGGAAATTGTTTGGTAATCCAAATTATGGATTGAACCTTCCAAACGCACTTCGGGTCTTTGATTTTGACCTATTTGAGTTCGGATTGGGTTGAATTTGGTGTCGTTGGATTCGTATTTTCTAGTACTTTAGTTCGATTGTATGTTTGGTAAAATTGAAGTTTTGATGACTTCCGATTTAATTTTTAAAGTTTCCAGCTTGATTTTGCTTTGAGATTCATGCCCAACAACAACAACATCAAGCCTTTGTTCCACTACATGAGGTCGGCTACATGAATACTTTTTTGCCATTGTGTCCTATTAAAAGTTGATCAAGAAAATTCTTTGATGATATATCATTCTTTAAAATATTTTTTTAGTACAACTTTTTTATTGGAATTTTTTATGATAGAAAGTCATTTTAAAAAGCAACGAGAAAACTACTCCAAACAAAGCCTAATGGCTTATAAGAAAGCTGCTTTAAGAAGCAATAAGAAAGCCATCCCAAACAAAACCTAAGTGTAAGATCCCTCACTTGAGGAAGAAGCACTTCCTCATGATCTTGAGAGAGGAGGAGGAGAGAGAGAGGAGAGGGGGAGAGTCAAATGCAACAAAACTTTATTTCTTCTTGGCCACCTATTACAATCTAAAGAGCTCCTATATATAGTCTCTTAAAGCTATACAAATAACTACACTATTGTCCATATATGCCAAACAAGAAACCTAAACTAAAAGCAATCCTAAATCTGGAAACAAATATCCAACACTAAGTTTTCCATTGGGTTAGCGCACTTTCTTACGGTTTTTTAAATCAGCTTTATCGTAAAAACATTGTAATTCAAGAATTTTTTTACTAAAAAGTTCATTTATAAAGTAGTAAAAAGCTATCTCAAACAAAACCTAAGTAGATTCATTTTAGCAATATATATATATATATATATATAT